AGGACCCCAAAATGGGATCAGGGCTCCTGAAAACCATTATCACATACATATTTAAGCAAGCCACAAGTAGATGCCTCATCTCTTCTTTTAAATACTTCTGTACAAGATCATCCTTGGCAGACCATAAGTTTTGCAAGGAAGACCAGGAGTCTTTCTGACCAGAGTCCAACTTCAGGGTCCAGTGACACTTATGGAGATCTGGAGGCAGTGCCACTATCTTAGACCCAGGTCTCAATGAAGACACTAATGGCCAGCTTGCTGTCTGGGCTGACTACTGACCAATACAAATAGATGAAGTGGATATATATTATTAGCGCAACACAGGAAAACTTGAAGGGTTTTAAGTATGCATATGCTACCTGTCACCCTATCTATAAGATGTTGAAATATATCTTATGCCCGTCAATAGGCAGGTTGAATTTGCTGGATTTTTCTCTCTGTCAGTGAAAATCTACCCCATAAATTCAGCTCCCCTCCCCTGTCCACCACAGGAAGTAGCATGTTAACCATCATAACATTGGCTTAGAAAGTAACCAAGGTCCAGGCGCACACATCTGAATTACTACACAGAAGGATTTTTAGCAGGACAGCCACAGTAACTCATTCACTTTTTCTTTTGTTTGCTTGTTGGTTTGGTTGAAGGTTTAGGGGCAGTCCCAGGGTTAGTCAGTTATATTGTAGATAAATTAAAAGATGGAAGGTTGCTTAGAAGTTGCATAAAAATATGAAAAAAATGAGTAAGTGAGCTTAATATTAAAATCCTAAATATAAGCCCCAACACACAAGATCCATTCATTTTTCTAGTCACATTAAGTTTTCCTGATGATTCAAAGGCCATCTAGTCCATACTGTTTTCTACATGGGCTCTTGATTTATTTTTCCTCAGAAGCTAGATTAAAACATACTTTGGAAATGTATTTTATTTTGTTTTAGACTATAAGCAGTGACAAGTTGTCACCTTCTCATGAGTTATTTTACAGGTGTCCAACTCTTCTAAGTGGGTTGAATGAGAAACATAGGGCTCGTCCCTGGACCAGTTAATGGTGCAGGACTGAACAGCTCATGGACTCCACCCCAGCCACATGCCAGATCATGTGGGTTAGGCCATAGGACCCACACTACATGCAATGTCTGTGCTAGGTGGGTGGCCGAGGCAGGCTCCGGGGGTCCCAGCCCCATGCACAGGGCCAGTCCAATGCACACTGACTGCAGCGTATGGCTTAGTTCCAGACCTGGGGCAGCACTGGAGCTCTGCAGGTCAGATTCAGCCTATCCCCAAGCTATTCTGTTTCATTTCCATCAGTACTTGGAAACTGCATCCTATTTCAAAGTTGAATTTGTATAACAACAGCATCCAGCTATTGAATACCTTTGTCTGTAGGATTAAAGAAGTGCCCCTTTTGCCTCCACTGCTTATCAGATGCCTTTCCTATGTAAAACATAGATTGAAGTCAATGCTTCAACTTTCTTTTCGACAAATTGGACTTCTTAAGTCTCAAGTCATAAAGCATGTTTTCCACTTTTAGATCAGTTATGCAGTCCTTTCCATCCTGCAGCCCACCTCCCCACATCCCATGCACAGCCCTACAGCTAGCCTCTCCCTGTGGTCCCTCTTGCCAGGCCTACTGAAGACATACTTAAGTTAGCTTGGCAAGTGCTAGCTCAAGAACAGCAGCGGCAGAGCTGTACTCATGTGACAGGAAGCCTGGATCAGTTAGCTTTGCCTCTTAACACTGCACTAATGAAACTGCTGCTTCCTATTTGGAAGGCAGCGTGCATGGAGGCTCTCAGTGTTTCAGCATGAAGCCATCTCTACCACCCTCAATCGTCCATTGTGGTCCATGTGTGGTACCTCTTCGGCTTACCAGGCAAGTGCTGCTGCCCTATGTTGCTTTTCTGACTTCACTTTGAACTCTCTCTGGTGGTGTTTCCCACATCATTCTCAAGGTACAGAAACCAAAATCAGGAACAGGAAAGGTCTTTGGCAACTGCTGCAGACAGAGGCAAGGTCACTTTTCCGCTTGATTTTGAAACACATTCAAGGATTGCCTTAGCCCTTTCTGCCACAGTACTGGCACCTCATGTAAGAGCCTCACATCTGTTCTCAGATAAATTTGATTGGATTGTGACCAGTTAACCTGTTGATTCAGTTCACACTCAAGCAGTAGCCTGTTATTTGCTCCAGAACAAGTATGCATGTCATCTGGCATTTGTCTGCCATTCATAGCATCTAGACTGCTGTAAAAATACAGCATTTAGCATGAAGCCCCTCCTTTGCTAGACAGTGGAGCTCTTTGGTGAACACATTAATGGAAGGCAGAAAGCAGGGCAGGGTGACACACTTAAGGTAAACACCTTCAGAGAAGCATGAGTTTTCACAAGATACTGACAGAGCTCACAAAAATTCATGCCCCTCTGAATGGAGTTGGTATTTAAGGTGCAAACCTTCTATACCTTCTACCTAACTTCAGACTAACATGGCTATCAGATTTACTCAAATCCAAGATGACCTTGAATTGAAGATGATCCCCCTCCCCAATAATTAAATTCTATATATGGAAAATTAATAAAGTATTAACATCTTCCATGTATAGAATCTAATTATTGGAGGATCATCTTCAATTCATCCCCCACCCAGCTGCATGGAGGGCAGGCAGTGGGGAGAGGTCAAGTGACTTTCCCCCTACTTGTGCCCATTTCTCTGCCTTGCTCCCCACAGCCTCCAGGCCCCAGTTCTCTCGCCTCTCCTCCCTGCAGCCTCTGCTTCCCACTCTCCCCCCTTATCCTTGCTCCACACTGGCAGGCTCTGTTCCTGTTCTAGTGCAGGAAACTGAGCATAGCCCCAGTCCAGCAACCGTAGCAGGTGTGTGGGCTGCATGCTGCTACAATGGGGCCAGGCTTGGGACATGCTCATCGCTCCATGCTGCAGCAAAGGTAAGGTTGGGGAGGGAGAGGGGCAGGTGGGGGGGAGCAGGGATTTTATGAGAAGGGGAAGGGGCTGCAGAAGGAAGATGTTGTGGTGCAGAGGCAGTAACTATGGCCCTAACTCTGGGTTAAGGGCTAGAGCTTGAGCCACAACAGCTGTCTTCCCCACCCTCTCCCCTCCCCCTGTTCTCATACTTGATTCTAAGATGAGGTGCTCCCCCACATGTTAAATGGCGGGGAAACGCATCTTAAAATGAAGTAAATATCGTACCTTTTCCTATAGTACTGGAATGTAGCATTTGTTAAAGATTCAGTTTTCCTTTGTCAGAGGGCTCTGTCAGTGCCCATGATACCTGATGAGGCCTTGCTTGGCACAACCACCCTTTTGTTAAGTTACAGCCATTTCTCTCTGCATAATTTTAGCGTCTTCTGTTAACTCCTAGGGTGACAATTCAGAGTCACACCCTGAAGTCCAGAGGACCCTATGCTCAGCCCTGGGCCTCTGCCCAATCTAGGGCATACTAGATCTTGGTCCCTTGACCTACTGGGCTGTCACTTTCCTTTCCACAGGAAACTGAAGCCCACAGATCCCACATACAGTAGCAAGGGACCACTCAGATGCTTTATTACAGGGGTGGTCAACCTGCAGCACAAGTACCAGAAGGAGCACAGGCAGCCACTGCGAGGGATGCAGCAGTTTAGAGAGCACAGGAAGCATAGTGGCAGACAGGGCAGAAAGATGAGTAGCAGATCAGGCAGGAGAAGGGGATCGAAGTGTCACTAGGGGAGGGCGTGGGGCTAATTTGTGGCAACCCTGCCAAACAGGTTGGTCCCTGCTGCTCTGCTGCTTCATTAGGGAAAGGCTATCCAACTTTTGGGCAGCCAGGAGCCACATGCCACAAGGGCCACAGACCCAGAAGCTACATACCATGGAGACTACATACCCAGCAGCC